AGGGTTGCGATCCCGTTGCCGGTCCCGGTCCAGTACGGGCGCGACACTGAGGGTTGCGATCCGTTGCCGGTCACGAAAAAAGACAAAAAAAAAAATAAGAAGAATTCAGCAGTAAAGCCAGTTGGTCTAGAGCTTTTTTTTGTTGGGAGACTGCCAGTGACTGCTTCAATTTCATTGCTCATTATTGGTCTATTCAGGTTTTACATTTACTCTTGGTTCAGTCATGGTGGTTTGTATTTGTCCAGAATTTTATCCATTTTCTCCAAGGTTTGAAATTTGTTGGCATATAGTTGTTTATAATAGCCTAATGAGTTTTTGTATTTCTGTGGTATTGGTTGTAATATATCCTTTTTTATTTCTGATTTTTGTTATTTGGATCTTCTCTCTTCTTTTTTTGTTAGCCTAGTAGTAGATTGTCTATTTTGTTTATCTTTTCAAAAAGCCAACTTTTTGTTTTATTGATTTTTTGTATCATTTTTTTGGCTTCTATTTCATTTAGTTCTGCTCTTAATTATTTCTGTCTATTAATTTTGGGATTGGATTGTTTATGTTTTTCTAGTTCTTTGAGGTGTCGCATTAGGTTGTTTGAAATCTTTCTGCTTTTGATATAAGCATTTATTGCAATAAACTTCCCTCTTATTAATGCTTTTGCAGTATCCCACAGGTTTTTTGGTATGATGTGTCTTTATTTTCATTAGTTTTGAGAAATTTTTTGATTTCTTGTGTAATTTCTTTTTGGACCCATATGAGGTTTTTTGGTATGATGTGTCTTTATTTTCATTAGTTTTGAGAAATTTTTTGATTTCTTGTATAATTTCTTTTTGGACCCATATGTCATTCAGGAGCATGTTGTTTAATTTCTATGTGGCTGTAGAGTGTTCAGAGTTTTGCTTGTTATTGGCTTCTAGTTTTAAACCATTTTGGTCTGAAAAGATGCTTGAAATTATTTCAATTTTTAAAAATTTGTTGAGACTTGATTTGTGACCTAACATGTGGTCTATCCTAGAGAGTGTTCCGTGTTCTGATAAGACTGTATATTCTGTAGTTGTTGGATGAAATATTATGCTCACCTCTTTCTCTGGTCTCCACTGGTGACGCTCCTTGTATCAATGCCGTTGAGTTGTTAGCAGGCCCCCTGCACGGTGGCTGTGGTCGCAAGCTGCCCTGGCAGTGATAGTGGCTGTGGCAGTGGCTCTGGTGGAACATCCGCATGGATGGTGGAACATACCACATCAAGCAGTGTCTGTGGTAGTCTTCTCTGAGGTATGTTGGTAAAGATAGGTAAGATGGAAAAGAGGAAATGACATGAAGATATGAATGAATAATGTTTCAGGAAGGAGTATCGGGGACTGAAAAGCCTTGAGGAAGAAATGAGCTTTTCATTGATG